TAGCTCCAATCCTGCAGCTTGTCAGCAGTGGGACTCTGCAACAAATCCCTTAAACATCTCAAATCCTCTTACTGGCCCAATTGTGGTTCAGGAGGTCAACATCTCCCATGCCACCCGAACTGCCTTCTTACCCTCTGCCTTCATTCTTCCAGTGCTCCTGCCAGACCCTAGCCACAGTAATTCTTTTAAAACAGCTGATATAAGCATGCCCCCAATCCTTCAGTGGGTCCTCAGCTGCAGGCCTGGCTGAGGTCTGTGTGTTTGCCAGGGGATTATTAGCTACTAAAACAAACAGGCTGAAAACTGCTCCTAGCTCAGACTATGAAACACTTAGTAAAGGTTTGGTTTCCCCCCCCCCCCAGAGGTCCGAAGCAGATGTTTCTTGCCAGTGAAGGGCTTTCTTCCACACCGGGACTGCGTGCCCAGGCCCCGGCTGTCTTGTTCTTACCTCATTCCCCTTTTGCATCCAGCCTGTGGAGGGGAAGGAGAGGTCAGGGCAGGGGCCCGGGTCCTCTGAGAGCCTCAGTTACACTGATCATGTTGCCTGCATGGAAGGCTAGAGGACAGCCTGCATGGCTGGGGAGGAGAGTAGCAGAGTGGCCCTTTCTTCTGCTGACACCCACTCTCCTGCTGAAGGATTACCTGAGCCCCATCCTCTCCCCACCCCAGGCCCTGGACCTCCTGGAGACATGTTGGCTCTCCACCTACATCACCCTGTGACCTCTAAGAGAGATCTAGGTGCTGCCCCTGAGCCCACAGACAGGGTGGAACAGAGCCAGGCCAGCTAGAGCTTTCATTAAGGAAGGGGAGAAAGGGGTGGAGTTGTGGGGGGTAACACAGCAGCCCTGGCCCATTCATGGTACAATTCAGAGCCCCCCTAGGAAGCCCCCTGCCCTGCCTGTCTAGGGGCTTCCCAACTCTGCTCTCCTGGGTGGTCACATCTGAGGTGGGGACTGCACAGCAATCCCAGGATCATGACTTCCTTGGCAGTACAATTTCCTCCAAATTCTAGGGAGTTTTCCTTTCAGTAAGTTCCATGTGACCACACCCAAGGTACTTTTCTCCTACAGTTTTCTAGCAGCTTTATTTCTTTGTTTCCTCCTTCCCATGTCTGTCTGTCGGTAAGAACATCTCGAAAGTGGAGCAAGTCACCTGCTTCATCTCTACTCTGCTGCAGGACTAAGACTGTTGTTGCCTGTAGAACTGAGATTTAAATGGGCTTTTTAATGGGCTACTTCAGGGTTCTTTCCTGCTCTCTGCAATCCATTTACAGTTCACCTTTTCAACACTGTGAAGCTTCAAGCTTTTTCTTTTTCTTTTTTTTGAGACAGAGCCTCAAGCTGTCCCCCTGGGTAGAGTGCCGTGGCATTACAGCTCACAGCAACCTCCAACTCCTGGGCTCAAG